TGTGTGTACTTTCACGTTGTTTTTTTGCATAAGAGGAGTAAGCCTATTCTTTAACTGCCGGACATGACCAGGACAAATTGTATATCTTTGAATGAGTAAAGTTGCTTCTTTTAAGCTCGTATCATTCTCATTATCCAACCAACCAACATCTGGATACGAATGCTATATTTCGCCCTTGAGATAGACACCGAGATAGGTTTAATTAATCAAGCATTAACTTTGAATCTTGAACTTTGAACTTTAAAAATCAAAAGATTAGCTTCGTGTTCAAAGGCATTGTTTGAGAAACAAAACTTCACTAGCAAAACATAGCAATATATTTTCCAGGAAGTGTCGTGAATGGCTTAGGCTATGGGATAAAACATGTTTGGACATTTTAAATGGAGCCCAAGAGCCCGTTTTTTTCCGGCTGATCAATACAACATGTGGAAGCCCCGAGCCTCCAAAGAAAAACGAGAACAGCCCCGTCGTGCGCATTTCAGATATCGATCTTGACGTATTCCCTTTTTTGTGCAAGTTTTTCCTAAGCCCGAGATCTGAGATGAGCTCTCAAGCACCACAGGAGCCAACACCTTGTCTCCATTAGATCTAACACCCACCTCGTTAACAAACTACACCCATTCTTGGCAACTGTTCTTGTTGCAAGCCACAGGCGTTGTCCTTACTCATTGTCTTTTGTAGACTTTTTTTTCTCTAAATCTTTGAAAAGATTTTGCAATATTTCGTTTAATAGTAACACTAGCTTCGGCCGTAGGTAAATCCGCTAATTTGCTCGTTCAACTGTTTTCTTTTGTGAAGCAAAGGTCTCCCTTCCCCTTCCCGCAAGCAAAAACCCCTCAAAACAACCATATCATCAAAATTATTACCAACAATAGGAACAAAGCAATAGCTAGCAGCAACAACGACGTAAGACATTAAGAAGAGCCCTAATCCCCCCACCCCCCGAAAAAAAGAAACAACAACCACAAAAAACAACAACCCTCAAACAAAACAACAACAACGAAACAGACAACAGAAAAAAAGGACACACAAAAAAACAGCAACAAAAAACAACAACAACAACTACAACAACAACTACAACAACAACTACAACAACAACA